GATAGCCAGTGAGGATGAGATGGCTGCTGTTTCAAAGTCAAGTCCAATCATTGGTTTTCACATCTACCTTCAAAACACCAAGTAAAATCATACTCAGTTCAAGGCTTCACAACAGTACTGTGTATCTTTGCCTAACAAGGACTACAGCAGCCTATGTCAGGCCATCTGTCAGTCAAAAATATTCACACCATGAATGTACTATAATGGATTAGGCATAGCTACCTAATCTATTCTTTGTTTATCATTTAAATTTGATAGTTGTTGGTCATTGGGAGAGTATAAGGAGTGGCTCACTGGAGTCAACCTCAAGTGGCCAGGAGTAGTACTGCAGTTTTTGGCACTTCTCCATGAGCTTCATTTTTCAGCACCTGGTGCTTCCCGTTTGGCACTCTAATGTCCCATCCATCATTATACTTCAAGTTGAATATGCTGAGCACTCAGCGTGGCCTTCCATTTTTAAGGTAATTCAGGGCAGCAGTGTATTACACAGATGGACTTCATTATAATAGAGCCATCGGCTTTTTCACACCTGCATCTACTAGGTGCATGTAAGGTCATGGAAGTAGGTTTACTTATTCTCTAACACTAAAGCAGACAAGAAAGCCCATGTTTCTCAGCTGGACACGTGAAGGGTATGTTTAGCTGGGGAACTTCAGGAAATCTAGTGACCTTGAGCTTGGTCAGGTCACATGATCATCCATCACAGACGAACAGCTTTGCTGCTGTGCCTTGCTCTAGTGGGAGGGGGGAGGCAGCTTTGGTGTGATAATAAGATGAAAAGTCTGCTCAGTGCAGGCAAGCCAGCCCTGGGTGGAACAGATGGAAGCTCCTTCTTTCTTATGCAATCCAGCACTAGTGAGGCAGAAATGATGACTTTTATGTGACTCCCTGGATGTCAGAGAAAACAAAACGCCTAATGAAGATCATGGGACTAACAGATGAGGTTTGGGAATAACCGGAGGTCAACACCACCCCACCGCATCTCCCATCATGCCTGCTGGCTGCTAGCACTGAGACTAATATGCAGTCGGTCACTTTAAATGATGAACAACATGTATCATGTAATTATGAAACCACACTGGAAATTCTTCCGTACAGTAAGTTGACTGTGTGTGTATGTGTGTGTGTGTGTGTGTGTGTGTGTGTGTGTGTGTGTGTGTGTGTGCTGTCTGACAAACTTTGCTTTGTGAAAGCAATCAGTGGCTCATAGATTCTCTAAATTGACCGAAACAATGAGATTAAACGCGCTGAGGGAAGAGCATGCACATGTGAAGGGCTCTGAATAGTAATTCCAGGAAATGTGCAGGAAAGAAGAAGGAGAGGAAGAAAAAAAAAAACCCACCAGTTTTCCTCAGACCATTTTCTAAAAATAGCTCTTCTGGCGTGACATCATCAGCGCTACGTAAATAAAGTCCACCTTTGCTTCTGTAGTGCAGCAGAAAAATGTTGAAGCCACTTTTTAGCCTCCAGGAGCAGCGGTGGTTGTTTTTGTTGCTGACAACATGCACACACAACATATGCACAGATCAGCATACATACAGTAAAAACTGCACTGTGTGTTTCCTCCTTGTTTCTTCCTTCATATGAAGAAATAAGAAACTAGATCAATTGCTAGGACTTAGCATTCCAAGCACACATTTTCCCTTCTCTTGATTGGATGTCTTTTGCTTCACAGCTTTAACACTTCAGCACATGAACATAAAATTCCCATATGTACAACATTCAAATAATTACTCACGAGTGATGGTGGCGTCTGTGAATCATGACGGAGCTGGGGACCTCTGTGTCCGGTCTGGGGGGAACAGGAAAGCAGAAAGCTTAGGTACACAGC